GTGAGGAGATGAGCCTTCGCTTTCTCAAGAGGGAGGCTAAGCTGTGTGGCTTCCTGCAGAAGAGCTTCCTGGCCCTAGAGAAGGTGGGAGCTTGCAGGCTGGTGGGGCTCTGCCGTGTCCCCTGTCACCCAGCTTGCAGCAATGGGCGGAGTCTCGCGCAGAGAATGAAGGCCTCTGAGAGCACACGGCTGAAGGTGGAGAGCGGTCTGCGGGAGGAGCTGGAAAGCAGGTGGCAAAACCTTCAGGAGCTGGCGGAGGAGCGTGTGCAAGCCCTGCGCGGGCAGTGCAAGGTGGGCAGGTAGGGCACGGGCTGGGCACCTGGTGGGGGGTGGCATGGGTCTCAGGGCCACCTCTGCACCACAGCAGGAAGAGTGCTACCTCCTGGAGCAGTGCCGGGGCCTGGACCGGGCTGTCGTCCAGCTGACCAAGTTTGTACGCCAGAACCAGGTGTCGCTGAACCGTGTCCTCCTGGCTGAGCAGAAGGCCCGGTGGGTATCCAAATAGAGCAGTGGGCAGAGAACGAAGCTGTCAGGCTGGGTGGACCGAAATGGCTCCTCTCCCCAGGTCCCAGCATCCTGAGCCCAGTGCCAGGCCCAGTGGGGCGACCCGAGCAGAGTAGCTGCCCATCCCAGCCTGCCCCTCGTGGGGAAACTCGGTGTGGCAGTGGGGGACACAGCCCCGTTTTGGTGGCCCCTGTGTTGACATTGCCACCCTCTGCTCCACTGGGTCTCTTGGAAGTTCTGGAGCCAGCAGCCAGGCTCCCCTCCCTGGCCCAGCTCTGAGGGGCAGGCCAGCCTCAGCTGAGGGACAGTTTCTCTCAGTGGCACCAACCCGCAGGGACACCAAGGGTTGCTTGGAGGAAAGCCAGGCTGGGGACCTGGCTGCCTACCTGCAGGAAAACCTGGAGGCCATGCGGCTGGCCAGCGAGCTGGCCCGGCACGAGACGCACAGCACGCTGGAGCTGGTGAGGGCAGCAGGGGCTGGGTCAGGTCTCCTCTGGGATCCCCACCTACACAGGCACCCCACTCAGCCTGACCTCCCACAGCTCCAAGAGAAGAGCCAGGCCTTGGAGGGGTCCGTGGCTGAGCTGGTCAGACAGGTGAGGGACCTGAGTGACCACTTCTTGGCCCTGAGCTGGAGGCTGGACCTGCAGGAACAGACACTGACCCAGAGGCTGTGCGAGGTAAGGCTACAGCACTGCCTGGCGGAAAGGCAGCTGAGACAGGTGGGGGTGGGGCCCGGCCCCCCTCGGCTCCCAAAGGTGCAGGCCTGACCAGCAGGTCCCATGCGTACCCAGTGACTGCTTGCAAAGCCCAGGGTGGCCTTGTGCCTGGGAGACCTCCTGCCCAGAGCGGGGCAGCCTAGGGTCAGCTGCTGAGACATTCATAGGCCCCAGAGACCCCACCACACGGGGGCTCCACAGAGGGGCCAGCAAGGCAAAATCTGCTTTTTGGGTGTTTTTCTTCTTTTTTGTAATAGCTTTGTTAAAGTCTAATTCACATACCATAAAATTGACCCTTTTAAAATGTATAATTCAGTGAGACTTTTTGCGTATATTCAGAGTTGTGCAATTGCCACCACAATCACTTTTAGAAGGGTTTCGTCCCCCCAAAGGAGACTCTGTCCTCATCAGCCGTTGCTCCCCTCCCCGCCCCAGCCCCTAGCGCCCACCATCTGCTTTTAGTCTCTGGATTTGCCTGTTCTGGACACTTCACGGAAATGGAATCACACATTATGTGACCTTCTGTGTCTGGCTTCTCCCACAGAGCATGACTTTTTTACATACATTGGTGTTGCAGCACATATGGGTGCCTTTTCCCTTTTCATGGCTGAGTGCTACTCCACCATGTGGTAGACCGCCACTTGTGTATCTGTTTGTCAGCTGATGGACACTGGGCTGCTGCCCTTGTTGGCGATATGGATGGCATTGCTGTGAACACACACATGTGCCCTTTGGTTGTGGGGCCAGGTCCCCTGGGTCTGCCCTGTGTCTCCTCTCCTGCAGGTGTGGGCAGGTGGCCTTTTCTCTGTTCCTGTCCCTACTGACCCCCGGGGGCAGCCGGGGCTGGAGTGGGGAAGGGGCCGAGCGAGGCCTGCCGTGTGCCTAGCAGGGCGGTCTGGGCTGTGTGAGGCCTGTGAGCGTGTGCTCAGAGTCTAGTGTGCAAAGTCTGTCTGCCCACCCTCCCTGTCCAGGCTCTGGCCTCACTGGGTGTCTGTGTCCCAGGCAAAGACTGAGTGGGAAGGTGCAGAGCGGAGATCGCTGGAGGGCCTGGCCCAGTGTCAAAAGGAGGCCCAGGCGCACCTGAGGGAGGTGCGGGAGACCGTGGACAGCCTGCCCTGGCAGGTGCGTGAGGGCCAGGGCTGCGCCTCCCCTCCCCCGCCGTGCCCACCCTTAGCCACCAGCCCACCCCCAGCTCTGCTGTTTCAGATAGAAGCCATCTCTGACAGGTGTGTCCTACACAAGAGCGACTCAGACCTCAAGATTTCTGCCGAGGGTAAAGCCAGGTGAGGCTGAGCTCTGGCAGAAGCCTGGTAGGACCGTGGCCCTGGGAAGGGGAGCGAGCTCCACTGAGCTGACCGTCAGGGAGCGGGCTGGGAGAGTATGGCTGACAGAACCACCTTGCTGCACCAACGGGGCTTCTCCCAGGTGCTGCTCGGTGAGCTCCTGGCACCTGTGACAGCCCTAACCCTCCCAAGGCCTGGCTTGGCCCCCTTGGGGGCAGCCTGCACAGACCCCCAAGTCTCTCCCTCTCTCACCCGTTGGTGACCCCAGCCCCCACTGGAGGAGGGGTGAAGCTGAGCGCCCCGTATTTTCCCCGGAACCTCCGCCCTCCACCTACCATGCCCCTCACCTCAGGGCTCTCCTGGAGCCTGGCAGCCTCTGGCCCCCTGTTACCGCAGAGAGTTCGAGGTTGGGGCCTTGCGGCAGGAGCTGGCTGCTCTGCTGTCGTCGGTGCGGCTGCTCAAGGAGGGCAGCCCTGGGCGGAAGATCGCCGAGATCCAGGGCAAGCTGGCCACGGTACCCTCCCGGGTCCCTAGGCCTGTCCCACTCAGAAGAAGGGGCCATCAGGTTGGGGGCGGGGGATAGCCCCCTGTGGAGGGTCCCGAGGAGGTTCACAGACATCCTGCTGGGGGACTCCCCACGTCTCAGCCTTTGGAAGTTCCAACACTGGGGGCGCCAGCGATCACGGTGAAAGGCGCGGCCCTGAGCACTGGGGGTCCCACCTGATCACTGGGCTGAGCGATGCCCCCTCGTCCCTTCAAGGGGTGACGACCCACGTGTCAGAGGTCAGTTCCTCCTCTGGGGGGTTGGGGTGGGGGCTGCTTCCATGTCCACAAACGGGGGGCAGTATTTAGTTTCAGAACCAAATAATGAAATTGGAAAACAGCATCCAGGACAACAAGACCATCCAGAATCTCAAGTTTAATTCGGAAACCAAGCTGGTGAGAGGCGGCCCTGCACTGGTGAGACAGGCCCTCCCCGAGCAGCCCCAGGGCTCCCAGGTCAGGTGGGGGGCTGCTTCTTCTCTGCAGCGCCTGGGTCCCAGTTCCCCCTCGCCCCTCCCAGCCTGCCCACCCCTCTGTCTCTGGTCTCCCCCACTACCTGTATGTCTGCACGTCTGGCCTGAGCAGCATTTCCAGGCAGATAAGCCCCTGGTTTGCCCAGGAGAAGATAATCCTGTGTGCTGTCCCACCCCCTGCTCCCATTCCTGCATTCCCACATCCGTGCCTCTGTCCTCAGCGCATGGAGGAGATGGCCACATTGAGGGAGTGCCTGGTGCGCCTGTGGAGTGAGGAGGGCCCGAGGGCCCCGACGCTCGGCAGCAGGAAGGTCTTCACGTCCCTGGTGAGACAGCAGTTCATCAAGGATGTGGCTTCTGGTGAGGTGGTCCCCGTGAACTGCTGGGGCGTGTATCAGGCTGTGAGGTGAGCAGCGGGGAGCTGCCTTCTAGAGGCCCCTCTGGGTCTGGGTTCGGGACTGGGGGAGGCCCCAAGGGCAGTGGGTCATAGGCCATGTTTCCGGGCAGGTGGCTGCAGTGGAAAGCGGTCCTCATGAACCAGGTGGCCCAGCAGAGGCCAAGAACAGTCTTGGAGAGGTCCCTTGGCCAGGAGCCTGCCCACCAGTTCACACCCTTTCCCCCTTGTCAGAAATAAACCTGCCAGCTCCCATATCTGTCAGAGTGCAGACTCCCTCCAGGGGGTCAGGAAGACCAGGCAGCTGGAGTGACCAAGAGGACCCATCTTCGAAGCCTACCCATCCTCAGACTCCCAGGATGCCCTTCTCTTGACCAAGCCCAGCTAAGCTCCAGGCCCAGCCGTTTTCCTGGGTCTTCCCGCAAACAGGCCCAGAGGCCCAGAATCCACACCCACTCCCAGCTGGGTTCCCCAGCAGCCAGGCCAGCCGAGGCCCAGGATCTCTGCCTGTCAGTCATACCCTTCAAACCTGCAAGGCACCCAACAGAGAATCATCTCTTCCTGTCCTAATGCAGGGAGCAAACAGTGTGTTTGCTCATCCACTCAGCTGTGCCTCCTCCTGCCTCTCCAAAAAAACTCTCGGTTCATCTGGGTAGCTGGCCCTGCCACCTGCTTCAGAACGGGCCGCCTGGGACTAGCCAGTGGTCAGGCAGTGGGATGGTTGCCCTTGGGAGTCTCGGGGGCTGGTCTGGATGGGCGCAGTGCATCCTTCCCCTGAGCCCATAGTCTCCAGGTGGCCACAGCTCCTGCCCTGTCGTCTTTTCCTGTGGGCAGAGCTCCAAAGGCTGAGGCCAGGGTGGCCGGGTCAGGTCCTAGGGACTTCAGCCCCTGCACATTCCTGCCCTGGTGGCCTATGGGGGTTGCAGCTTCAGGTCCCAGGATGAGCCCTGCCCCTCTTCCCAGGCCCGGAGAGTCCGGGCTTCCCTAGGCTGCTCTGTCCTCCTGATGGCTGCCCACCATGGAGGGCCCCAGAGCGCCCCCCAGCAGGACAGCCATGAGGAGATCCCAGACCCCTGCCACCCCAGCTCACCCCACCAACCCTGGCTGCTCACTAGGCCTCAGCCAGCTGTACCCCCTCCAGGGTCTGGGCACCCCTGCCTGGTGGCTCTGGGCCAGCCTCCACCGACCAGCTAGCCAGCAGGTCACTGAAGTCAGGCGTACCCGGGTGCAGCAGGCCCAGGGGGCTGGGTGCCGGCTCCTTCCAGAAGGAGGGGGGCAGCTTCCTCTGGGTCATGGGGGTGATGTGGCTGTACTTCTGCTCCAGCCTCAGCTGGGGGCCAGCCAACAGCCCGGGCCCCGAGAACTGCCGCAGCCCGTAGTCGAACAGCTCAGCCAGCGGTCCCAGGGACTGCACCCTGTCCCCGCCAAAGCCTGTCTCCTGCCCCCGCCCCTGGGGGCCCTGGGGAGAGTGGGCCCCAGGCCCGGAGGCCCTGTCGTCATCAGGGAGCCCGCCCTGGGCTGGATGCACCAGGTCTGTGCAGTAGAGCTCCCTGGCTGAGCTGAGGGCTGGGTGGCCTTCGGCATAGATGTCACAGGCGTCTGGGTCCTGCCCCCTGTCCTTGGGGCCAAAGTACCTCTGGATGTCCCCGCTGATGAGCTCAGAGAACCGCAGCAGCTGCAGTGGTGTCTCCGTGCTGCTCAGACCTGGAGGGGCCTCTTCTGGGGCAACTGTGGCCCAACCTGAGCTCTGGGGAGTTGGGCTGTGGGACCCTGGCCCCGCACCCTCCAGATCCTCTTCTTCTTCCTCCTCCCCCTCCTCTTCTTCCTCCTCCCCCTCCTCTTCCTCCTCCTCCTCCTCCTCAGAAGTGTCTGGGGGCTCTGGGTCCAAGGGCGGGAAGGGCTGAAGGGAAGTCAGGGGCAGCTGGAAGTCACAGAGAGGTCGGATCACGCCTGTGGCCATGTCCTCCACGTTGGAGCTTCTGGGGCCTCTGGGGCAGCAGGTGCCGCTGGGGAGGGAGGGGAGAGGGGACAGGTTATCAGTGAGGGCCTGCAGCCCTCCTGGTGGGCCTGGGCACTGTGGCCACTTGTTCTTGGGGAGGGAGCTGAGCTCAGAAGTGGGTGAGAGTTGGAAGGGGGGTGTCATCATGGTGGTGGGCACAGCCTGAACTGGGTGGGGGGAGCCTGCAGAGTGTGGGCCCAGGAGTTTAGAGCAGCCACCGGCCTGTCAGATGGTCCCAGGCCCTGTGAGCAGTGCATTCTGGAGGGTGGTCAGAGAGAATGAAGGCAGGTGACAGGGTGGTGCCCCCGGAACAGTCAGCTGGTGGTGAGGAGAAGTCACAGAAGAGAGAAGCAGGGGAGGTGGGAAGGCAGCCACCCCGGGGCAGGGGTGAAAGTGGGTTCAGGGCCTCGGAGGGCAGAGCGCTTGTCCCAGTGTGGGGTTGCTATGGCTCTTGATAAACAGGCCTGTTGAGGCGTCGTCTGCCCAGGTGTTGGACAGGGGACCCCTTGCCCCTGAGATGCCCACGCTGAGCCCAGAGGCTGGCTGCCTCGGGGCCCAGAGCCCTTGCAGCTTTGGGGGGGCTTCCGAGCCAGCACCGCTTCTCCCATCCCCCATCTCCCCAGTCCCGTCTGATTCCAGTAAGTGCAGGCACAGTCCCAGGCTTGTGTTTGTCCTCTGTCAGGGGACCAAGGCGTGAGTGAGACAATGCCCCAGGATTCGTCAGGGTCCTTGAGAGGCAAAAAGGCCTGTGGGGCTCCGCTTGGCTGGGGCTCAGGAGTGAGGGGAGGGGATTTGGGGAGGCAACTGTCAGGGGCGCCTGTGGCTCTCCCCTTGGCCTGCAGCCAAGCAGGGGTGTGGGGAGCTGATTCTGAATGCTGAAGCCTCCCCCAAACCGGGGGTGTATCCGGCATGCCCCTCCAGGGGAGTGAGCCAGGGAAGAAGGAAGAAAGAAAGGGAAGGTGATTCGGAGAGGAGGAGAGGGGTCTCCCAGCAGCTTGCCAGGAAACACCTCCCAGGGGGTGGGCGAGTCCACAGGCATCACGGAGAGCCAGGTGGACCTGGGGAGCACGGGCCTCCCCTGCTCCCGGTAGGCCGGTGGCTGGCCATACTGGCCGTGCTGTAGTCCCAGTCTTGTTTCAGTGCTGAGGCCCCTCTTCCCTGCAGGGGCATCTAGTGGCCCCAGCTGTGGGGTGGCTCCCCGCTCCCTCACCGCCCCCCTCCACCGCCTGTGCTTTCCCTGAAGGGCCTGGCCCTGCCCAGTCTTCTGGTGCCCCATCCCAGTGAGTGGGAGGGCCCCAAAGACCATCTGGGCAGAAGGGCCCACAGCCTTCCCAGGAGGGAGAGGAGGCCAGACCCCGAAGCCGAAGCCGGGACCCTCCCCACCTGCTGTGCAGCCCTGCTCTTACCTGTGAGTCCTGCAGCTCTGCCGGGCAGGCCTACCTCCACCTGGGCTCAAGCATTTATAGCCGGGCTTTGCTGCCGGCCGGGCTGGCAAATATTTGGGGACTGCATTGTCATCGCAGACTGGGCAAATAGAATCCGTTTGCTTTAGTGCCCGGCAACCAGGGCCCAGCGAGGGGGAGCCTGGGCCTGCCTGGGGACAGTAGAGTGTTTGCTGCACGCCCAGCTGGCTCACACCCGGCCGAGGACCCTTATCTCCATGGCTGATTGGGGCCCCAACCAAGCCTTGTCAGATAGGCGGAAAATTAAATTTCATGCTATTTTGACTTCTGGAGTAGCCTTCTCTAGAGGACACCCTGCTTGTGCGGCGCTCTGGGTGAATGGGGCTCCTGGCCAGCAGCAGCACCTGAGAAGGTCAAGGGAGGGAGGCTGGGGACCGCTGAGCCCAGGCGGAGAGCTCAGGCAGGTGGGGCCTCTGGTGCTCCTGCTCAGCCTGCTCCAGCCACCTCGAGCCCTCCCAGAGCTGCGGCTGAACCCCTGCCCCCTCCCCGGGGTTTTGCCCCCAGGGTCCAGACTACGATGGCCCCTCCCTTCCTGGATCCTGTTTTGGCTCTCATGCCTCTCTCTGTGGGGTTTGGTAGCCCCCACCAGCCTTGTGGAACCTGCTGCACCTGGCCAGTGCCTTACGACCACCAGCAGGGCCCCAGAGCCGTTGCCCCACCAGCCTCCCATCCTCCCTCCTGGGGGGCCCAGTCCCTCTGCCCTGTGGTGCTGCACAAATGTCCTGAAGCCACCACAACCAGTCACCACACACAGGGCGGCTGAGAACCACAGAGAGGGTCTCCCACAGTCTGGAGGCTGGAAGTAAAAAATCCAGGGTCTTCCGGGCTGGTTCCTTCTAGAAACTCCTAGGGGGATCAGTCCCGCGCCTCTCCCCTGAGGTGTGGTGTCACTGGTCAGCAATCCATGACAGTCCGAGGCTTGTAGCCAAACTCTGCCTCCACGGCCTCTCGGCTGTCCCTGTCGGTGCCTGTGGCCGCGTCTTCCTCTTCTCACAAGGACATCATCACTGGAGTGGGGTCTGCCTACTCTGGCCTCAGCTCTTCTTGCTTGATCGTACATGCAAAGACCCAGTTTCCACAAAGGCCCCATCCTGAGGTCCAGTGGACCCGAGTTTCAGATGTACTGTTCAGCCCAGTAAGCGCCCTCCACATGTGGCCATGGCCCCTACTCATTGTGGCCACTGCTGGGTGGTTTGCTCCCCTGGATCAGCCCCTGTGGTGCTGGCTGAGGGGACCCCAGAGTCCCAACCACTGTGGCTCCCACAGTGGCCACTGCCTGTGGTCCAGGTTTTGAGGACAGGACAGCAGCCCCCGCCACTTTGGTGTGTGCCCAGCCCCTGGAGCCCATGGTCACTTATGGTCCCCAATCTCTCTTCAAAACATGGGGGTCACCCATCCATGGGACTGGAAGGGTCATGGATGCGACTCCACCCCTCCCTGGGTCCTTGCCCTTCAGCTCCAGCTCCACTCCCTTCTAGAGTGGATGACGCCTGCCCCACCCAATGATACCCAGGCCGTCCCTGCAGGCAAGCCTGCCCCGGTGATGGCTGCCGATCATTTCTCAGGCATCTAGAAGGCCACACGAAGACACTCTGTGCCACCCAAGAACAGCACCTGCCTGGGCCAAGCTGAGTGACCGGCCGAGGTTGTTTGCCTGGGGAGGGACCAGGGAGAGGGCAGAGGGACAGGGCCACCGCGGGCCACAGGGCAAGGATGCAGGGAGAGAGGAGGGACGTGTGACAGGCTAGGTCTCATAAGGCCTACAGGTACAATAGGTCATTACGGACCCTTCCGCATGCCCTGGGGTGAGGCCACGGCCCAGGTGAGGGGTGTCTGACGAGGCTCAGTTGCCTGGGTCCAGTCTGAGTTTGGGCCTCAGTCCCCCAGAGACTGACCTCAGGCACAGCCACAGTTCTGCTCTGAGACTCTGGTCCAGTGACCCTGTTGTCCAGGTCCTGCCTGAGGGGTGGCCCTGCCTCAGCCCCGTGGCTGACTCTGTCTGACTCAGCTGAGCCCAGCTGTCAGCCACCATCTGCGGGAGGCTGGGGTTGGGGTCCCAGGTGGCTCCTGGGCTGCCAGGGCCCCTCCTTTCCCTCTTTGCCCGGGTATTGCTGCTCCTGCCCCCTGCTGGCTGAGGGAGCTCCCCGCTGGTACACGCCCTGGACCCTAGGGCAGCAATTTTCAGCTGGTGTGCCACAAGAATTGTTAAACCATGCAACACCTGACTATTGAGTCAGGGGCACTGACCTCTTTTCCCTTAGATTGTCAAATAAAAAAATGGCAACAGCCAACCCCAAAATAGCTGTCTGATATAAATGAATCAAAATTATACATATTTTTGTCAGACTGGCAAAAATATTTTTTGGTGTGCCACAGAATTTTAGTAACTTAGTTTACATGTGCCGCTAGATGAAAAAGGTTGAAAATCACTTTCCTGGGGCTATCCCTCAGCAGCTGATGAGGCTGTAGCCATAACGCCCCCTGCTGGTCGGGAGAGACCAGGCCAGGGCCGTGCTCGGGCCTCTGGCCCTCCTCTGTGCCAGGCGTGGGCTGGGTGCAGTGGGCAGGTGGATTGAGGAAGCCAAGATGCAACCCTGCCCCGGAGAGGGTCCCTGCCTATGTGACCAGAGGAGGTCGTTTGTGGGAAGCTGATGGGAGCAATAGCTCACCTGGCCAGACCGAGGGCGGTGAAGGTGTTCCTGCAGAGTGGACAGCCTGGGAAAGACCCAGACCTCAAAGAGCTGGTGCCCTGAGGGTCTGCTGAATGATGGCCCTAAAGATGTCCAGGCCCTAATCCCCAGGACCTTTAGATATGTCACCTCACGTGACAAAGAGACCCTGTCGGGGTGATTGAGGTAAGGACCCCGAATGAGAGATGATACTGGGTCCCCATAAAAGGGAGGTAAGAGGGTCAGAGTGAGAGGAGAGGTGACAACAGAAGCAGGCTCCCTGTTGGCTGTGAAGGTGGGAGGTGCCAGGAGCCAAGGAGTGGGGTGGCCTCTAGAATCTAGAAAGCAAAAGGGAGTGGTTCTCCCCACGCGCAGCCTTGGAGACAGCTCGGCTTTCAGCCAGGGAGACCCATTTTCGACTGCACAGCAACAGTAAGTATTGTTTTCAACCACCCAGCTTGTGCTCCTTCGTTCCAGCAACAAAAGGAAGCTCACAGCTGGAAGTGCTGGCTGGCTAGTGGGAGTGGGCGGCCCGCAGGACCTCTCGGCCCAGCTGTGGGGTCTGGACCTTCTTCCCAGCCATAGGGGAGCCAAGGTGCTTGGCTCTTCCCTCTGTCACTGGAGCCGGATCTGAGATTAGGGCTCTCACGAGGAGCAGGGCCCATGATGGCTATTACACCCAAGGCCTGCTGCTTCCCGGGTGCCCTTGATTCCATCCCTGACCCCACGGGGCTACTTTCCCATCCTGGCCTCTGCCTCAGGTCCCTGGTCAGTGGAACTGAGGCCACAGCAGGGGCTTTGGGTCCCCTGAGCGGCCCAGTGAGGAGATGTCCGCTCACACCAGCCATGGGAATACTGTCTACAGACAGCCAGACCCTTGTCCTTCTGCGCTGGCACATTCCCGTGCTTTTCTCTGCCTGACTAGGGACCAAGGAGGAAACTCAGTCTAAGACAGAGATGTGCAGACTGGGGGAGAAGCAAAGCACGTAGATGTTTGGGGAGAGGAGCCTGGCCAGGGCATGTGGGGTGGGCATCTGGGCAAGAGAAGCCTGAGACCAGAGATGGGGTTGGGGCGGGGAGGCGCTACTGTACCAGTCCCAGCAATCAATGATGGAGCCCCACAAGGCACGGTCTGAGGGTTTAGGAGTAGGGGACCGGTGTGAGAAGGATTTAAGAAGCAGATTTGGGATCGTAGTAGGGTGTCCCTGAATTATCCTCTTTCTTGCCCTTCAGCCATGTTCACGAGGGACCCAGGAGTCTAGCAGAGGGAGGCAGAAATCTGGCTTTTGTTACTGGAGAGGCTGGGCTGCGGTACAGCACCCCGAGGGGACTTCAGGTTGACAGAGAGACACAGGTTCCCATACATGTCCAGCCTGTGTTGGGTGGCTGGCCAGGCCTAGCGGCATGGGGGCCCCACGCTCCCTGGCACCCACTGAGGCCCTGGGGTGGGGCTGGGAGACAGGCACGCAGGCACTTGGGTGGGAGCCCCGGCACATGTCCCAGCATCTGCTCCCAGCCGGCCTCCTGCTCGGGGCACTGTCGGGCCTTTTGGAGCTCTGTGTCCATCCTGTTCCCGTCAGCCCCCACCTGTTGTCAGTCCTCAGCTCCCCAAGAGAAAGGCTCTGTTCTCCCAAGAGTGGTGGGCCTGCCTATCCCCATGCACCACGTATTGATCTTCCCAGGGAAAATCAATAGCTCCAATATGTCAGCTCTCAAGTGGCGCTACAGTGAATTACTCCCAGCTTTGGGCACACAAGGGCTCAGCCTTCCTGCCCATTAGTGGGGCATTAGGCCTTGTGTGAGGTTTCTCTGTGTGCTTTGAGATAATGAAAGCTGAGGTGTTAGTTTATGTCCTTGGGAGGGTGGAGGGGGGCCCAAGAGCAGGCAGTGCCGGCAGTGCCAAGCACCTGTCACCCAGTACTCGGTCAGGCCTGCTGGGGTCAGGGAGGGAAGGGCATCTGGCTTTGCCCACTTTGGGCTCCAGTGCACTCAAGGGTTAAGTATACTGCAGTAGTTGGGGCGGCCACTGCCGTCCAGCCTAGCCACCTGGAACACGCCTGTGGCTGAATGAGGTGGGTTCGTGCTCCTTGCAACCAGGGAGAACGTGCACGGGGACCTGGGTGTCTCAGCAGGAGGGTGTGAGAAGAGGCCGTGCGTTCAGGCCAGTGTTGGGCTGTCATAGGTGGGCACAGGTAACCAGGTTCTTGGTGATTGCAGGCAAAGAATTGAACCAAACACAGAGAGTTGATAGCAGAAAGATAGAGAACAGATTTATTAAGCGATAGTACACCCCACAGAACATGGGAGTGGGCCAGCTCCAAGCAGAGTTGACCTCAGGGGATGGAGGGACTCTATTCTTATAGGGCAGATCCTTCCTGGCTAGCTTTGGCAGGCTTTTATCGCACATGTACAAGTAGTTATATTACTTTAAAGCTACTGTGCACGTGGTCTCCCATGATTTTCCTTGACTGGCCACCTGGGAAGGGAGGGTGCCACAATGTTAATTTATTATAATGATATTATAATGAAGCAGAGGTCATGTAGCATCTTCTGTGCTAGTGCATTCATGATTCACCACGATTCAGTGCTTTTCCAGAAAGCAAGAACAACAGGTCTCTGTCCTGCACTGACGTCCTTTATCTCAGCCCTGGGGCTCCTGCGGAGTTTCCTCCTTCCTGACCATCTCCTGCCTCAGGGGGAATGGCTTTGCTCTGGGCTGCACACTGTCAGGTGGCAGGGTGACTCTGTGAGTGGGTGCCTGTCTCAGTCTCCTGGGGCTGCCCTAACAAAGGACCACTAACTGGATGATTTAAGGACCACTAACTTACTGTTGTTTTCTCATAGTTCCGGAGGCAGAAACCCCAAACAAAGGTGTGGGCAGGAGTACACTCCATCTGAAGGCTCCAGGGAGAGTCTCTTTCAGGCCTTTCTCTGAGCTCCTGGTATTGCCAGCAATTCTTGGTATTTCTTGGCTTGTGGCCACATCACTGCAGCCTCTGAAGATTTTATTTCTTTATTTTTAGAGAGGGGAAGGGAGGGAGGAAGAGAGGGAGAGAAACATCAGTGTGTGGTTGCCTCTCACACATCCCCTGCCAGGGACCTGGCCCACAACCCAGGCATGTGCCCTAACTGGGAATCAAACTGGTGACCCTTTGGTTTGCAGGCCGGCACTCAATTCACCGAGCCACACCAGCCAGGGCCGCAGCCTCTGCCTCTTCACATGGCCTCTTCCCCTGTTTGCCTCAGTGTCTTTTCTTCTCTTCCTATAAGGACACCAGTCATTTGGTTTAGGGTCTGCCCTATCCAGTATGACCAAATTTTAACAAATTACATCTGCAAAGACCCTATAGCCAAACAAGGTCACGTGCTGAGGTTCTGGGTGGATGTGAATCTGGTGTGTGTGTGTGTGGGGGAGTACACTATTCAGCCCACTACAGCATCTTAAAACGTCAGGAGAAGGGCAGAAGAGGCAAGGCACCCACATGGCTGGTAAAGGAAGGCTATTCCTTCTTTAGCCAGGACAGGTGCATTGGTCTTTTTTGAGGGTTGGGCCATGTTTGTGCCTGTGTTCAGATGAGACTAGAGGGGTTGTGTTTCATCTGAGGCCATCGTAGTCACGGAGAGGCTTGGTCTCCAAGCCTCTCATAGCGGAGACGCTATGTCCTCTGACAGTTTACATCCGATGGAAGCCCTGGCTGACAGCACCGGGTGGCTCCTGGAGGCTGGGGTTGCCATCCTGTTCAGACTCTTCGAGTCTATGTCTTTTTTGCTTTTTAACCCTCACCTGAGGACATTTTTTTTTCCATTTATTTTAGAGAGAGAGGAAGGGAAAGAGAAGCATCAATTGGTTGCTTCCCACATGTGGCCAGACTGGGAATCCCAAGCATCTGGACTGAGAATTGAACCTGCAACCTTTTAGTTATGCGACAATGCTCCAACCAACTGAAGCACACCAGTCAGGGCTACAAATCTATGTTCTTTGCATCTGGTCTTTACCTACAACAGAAACCAAGTGGCAGCAGGAGCTGGAGACAGAGGAGAGGTCAATCGGATATCTGGGCTTGCTCATTCTTTGTTGTGGTCACACGCTGCTCCTCCCAGACTCTGGCCTCGGAGTGCCCCAGCAACATGGTGGCAGTAAGAGTGAACTTCACAGCCTCAGAATAGAAGGACATTTCCATGTCATCCAGCTGTCAATCATAACAGATATCCTGAGATCCACCAGCAGTGTCCCAGGCACAGAACCTGTCCTAAAAGCAGCCTGCCAAGTAGGTGCAACATTTTACAGCTGGTAAAGCACAAGCTTGAGGGTTAAATCACCCATCCAAGGTATCTTCTTTCTGTTACCCATCTGAGGCAGTCATCCATCTTAAGCATGAGCCCCTGCCAGAGCCTCTCAGCTCTGCTCCTACTTTGCTGTCCCTAGGCAGCTTGTGCCCTGAAGCATCCCAAGCGGATGGCTGCATCTGCCCAATCAGCAGCCCCACCCTTAATCTCAGGGCTCTTTGATCTCCACCTCCTCTAAAAAGCCCTCTGGAATGATTGTGGCCCATCCTTCCATTTTATGCCCGCTCCTCCCATCCCAGTGGGTGCTCCTGGGGTTCCCTGTGAGCCACTTGGTTTGGCAGTGATTCTGGGTGGGGTTCTGTGGTGGAAATGGTGGGGCAAGGCACAATGAGGAGGATCTAGGCACACAGATGCCTCTGTTGACGTAGCAACTTTGAACTCCTGGGCTGGGAGCTGAGCTGCCACCAAACATCTGGAGCTGGGCTTCCAGGGGTGTGGAGGATTCCCAGAGATTGCTGAGTTCAGAACATTTCTAGCCCACTACCCATGCTCTAATGTCTGGAGAGTTCCTGGGGGTACAAAACTAGTTGTGGAGTCTGGTGCTTTTCCTGCCAGGAAGATGCAGGAGAGGTGTGCTCCGGAGGTAAAGATGCTCAGCTGGCTAGCACGTTACAGTTCACAAGGTGGCCTCACGATCTTATTTTGTCACCAAGTCACCCCCAACTCTCTCTCTCTCTCTCTCTCTCTCTGAGGCTCTGATGATGCCCGAACATTCTTATGTGGTCTTCAGACAGGATGGTTCGGCAGAGGCAGGGCCAGTTTGCCTTGAGGACAGAAGGCTCCAGCAGCTGTCCTATGAAGCCAACTGCAGAACCAGATAGAGCAGGACACCCGCCCAGCCTGACTCAGGAAGGTGGAGGGAGCTCACTGCAGCTTCATCCACAAAGACGGTGAATGTTAGGCCGTGCACAGGTGGTTCCACTGGGCCAGAGATGGAGCCGAGTCCAAGTGCGAGATGGCTTCCTCCAAGAGCCCTAGGTGTGCCCTGCTGCGTAGGGTGAAGGATCACGGTCTTGCACCGGGGCGAGCACTGCGTGGCAATGCCCGTCCTGCAGAGCGGTTTGGCCAGCCCTGGGACCTGAGCAGCTTTGGGTATAGATGCAGCGCAGAGCAACGGAAAGCGCCAGGGTGTGCGGGTGGCCCCACGCTGGGTCCAAAGGGCGCAGGGGTGCTCCGTGCCAGGGAGAGCCGGCTGGCTCTGTGCTCACGTAACTCGGTCCTAGTGGGAATACTAATCGAGTTAACAGAGTGATTTCCCTGACTTAGTCTCATGAGAATGGCAAACTGAGCCGTCAAAAGACTACGGGGAGCAGCCATCCAAAACTGTGCCGGTGTTGCCCCAGCAGGGCGCGACAGGTGCATGCTCAGGGCGCCGATCTCGGGCGACGCCGGCCCGCTGGAGAATCCGCTTGGAGTCCAGCTCGTTGATAGACGATGACCGAAACCTGCTTTGCCGGCTGGCCTCAATCTCTGAGCCGCAGCCCAGAAACCCGCAGGCTAGTTCCTCTTTGGACTAGTGGAGAACTACATTTCCTGTCATGCCCTCGCGGCTCGCCCAAGCCGGGCCTGCGTCGAAAGAAGCCGCCGAAAGTACATACGTCAGTTCCGTTGCGCGAGTAGTCCCACGTTCTGTAGTCGTGAGCTGAGACCCGGAACAGCGGCTGGTTTCCGGTTTTCGCGCGACGGAAGTGACGCATACACCAGCGCGCCGCACAGCCAAGTGGTGAGCAGAGGTCGTGATGAATCGCGTCCTAAGTGTGCGGGCTGCAGGGTGAGCTGCGCGCTGTCTCGGAGGGGCCGAGGGAGGGCTCACCGTGTGCCGCGCTCACTGCTCTCTTTCTTCCAGGGCTGTCGGGGAGCTGAGGCTCGTATTCTGGGCTTCCCGAAACCTGCAGTCTCCGCCTGGTTCCCGGGCCCGGACCCAGCCCGAGGGCGAGGAAGAGGACGACCCTAACCGCCCTATTTTATTTTCCTCCAGCAAAGCCCATCCAAGCCGTTGGACTGTGGAGCATTCCCTGGGAGGGGAGCGGCAGCGACCCTGGTTCAGGGTGCTGCCCTTAAGCCTGTCCCTTATGGCTCTGGTCGTTTGGTGCTTCTTTAGACAGGAGACCGGCGCGGACCGCTGGTTGAGACAGGTATTAGAAGAAGAGGTGCCGGAGCCCAGCGATCGTGCTGAGGATCCTGGAATTCCGGCTGCCCACGGAGCGAGAACTTAAAAGTGGCGCCCTGGTGAGGGGGCAGCAGGGGACCAGTCCGCCGCTCTTTGGCTTTGACGTCGCGTTTGACCGTTTCTGTCGTGGTTACGTGCGTCAGCAGATTGAAGGATTTGTTTGGATGGCGCATCTGACCACGCTGACCCGCGGGAAGGAGAGAGCAAAATGTCCGCAGATCGGAACCGGTTCCTTGCTTGATACCTGATGCTGAACGGATATATTCAAATACTTTTTGAACCATAGAAAAGGTTTTGGTTGCAGCGTGTGCAATGGTATTTGTGATTTTGCTCAATATTTTATCACGTTCCCAAAGCAATTCTGGCGACACTTGTAAGCCAGTTTGCAGGTCTTTTCTTTTCTGAGACAGAATAACTGGCAGAAGAGTTAAACTATTTCATAATGTACTATGGTGTGTATAAATTTTAATTTGCTAATATAGAATTAAGCTAATATCCTCTTTTTTGCATCTCTTTAGTTCTTTTTCAGTTCCTTTGTTTTTCTCTTTTTTCCCCCCAGAATAGGAACTGAGGGAAAAAAACTAAACATAAATTGTGGAATACATTATCAGACGATACCAGAAATAATGGAACTTAGCTCTCTGCAAGTTTTTGTTTTTAGTAAGGCAACAGCTTTGTGAATAGAACTGATACATACTCCTTTTGACAAATTATAGGCAGTGTTTTGGGTGTCTAAATATGTTTTGCAAGTACTTCTTAGGAATCTTGCATAAGTCTGAAATACATGGTGCATAAAAGCAAGACTTTATTTACATAAGGTTCTAGTGAAGGGTTTTACCTTGGCAGGTGTATGATGCTGAAGTTAATTAGAGGGTTTTCTCACCAGGGTGTTTTAAGACCACTGGCCCTATGGCAGTACATTGGCTTGTCACAAGGCCTCTGCTGAATTGCTCTAAGTATCTGGCACACCTTGGGGAATTCTGCTTGTCAGGGAGGAGAGGCTGATACAAGTATGTGCATTTTTTAAAGATGGAGAGTCCAAGGTTTGGAAAGACTACCCCCAGTCATAGCTCAAGTTCCATTGTCAGTTGCAGTGGGTTCTTTGACCTGGTGTGTGAACTCTTTTTTTTTTTAGATTTATTTATTTTTAGAGGGGAAGGGAAGGAGAAAGAGAGGGAGAGAAACATCTGTGTGGTTGCCTCGCACACGCCCCCCCTACTGGGGACCTGGCCTGCAAAGCAGGTATGTGCCCTGGCTGATCATTGAACTGGTGACCCTTTGGTTTGCAGGCCGTACTCAATCCACTGAGCCACGTGAACCAGGACTGAACTCTTGTTTGAGCAACAGGCATGCAAACCTGAACCCTTTCTTTGCTCTCACTTGCTCCTGCGGGAGAAAAAGTCGATTAATGAGAAACTTTTTATTTTAATTAAAAGTAACTCAAGAGAAAAGCAATTGATCTGGTAAAACTAGACACTACAACAGGCAAAAGGAAGAGAGAACACATCACACCATGTGCAACAGATCCTGGGTGCCTCCAGGGTGGCTATGAATGAGGACTTTCCTGGGTTTTGTCATGAAAAAAAGCAGGACCTAAGGCCCACCTGCAAGTGTGGACAGACCCTCCCAATACCTGGATTTTGCAAAGGGGTAACAGCAGAATAGGTAGACAGGTGAACTGTAATTGAAATACTTTTATTACTTAACCATTTTTGTAGTATGCTTGTCTTATTTCCCCTACTGGGCTGTAGATTTTATTTTTCTCAGGGTGCTGGGGACATTCACTTCCTCAGGTAAGCACCCAATAAGGATTTGGGAGGCAGAGGACGAGTGTAAGCGTGCTAGAGCAGAAGCAGTTGCCATGATGAGAAATTATTGGGCAGGAGGAGAAAATTGTTTCAAAGAGAATTAAAGGAAAAGGAGGTTAACTAAATGGTCTCCCATATTTCAAACAGCTGAGTAGTGTTGGAAGGTTCTGGGAGTGCTGTGCATCTATTTACCCCCCTGCTCCAGAAGTAAGATACTTCTAAATTTAGTGTGATGTCATTTCATATGCCTAGGTACTACTGTAGCCTTTTAAGAACAGTCTTCAAAAGCACAAAAAATTACACTGAATTTTAATAATAGCCTAGCAGAATTTTCTTGGATCTCTTCCAAGAAGATGCCTGGCGGGTGAGGAGAAACAGTGGGCATCTTGGTACTCCCATCTCTGTAGCAAAGATCTCCAGATTTTAAGACCTTGAGCCCCAGCTTCCTTTTCTGAGCTCCAAGTGCCTCGCTATACATCTCTCTTAGGTTCCAAATGGGATTCATCTCTTCCCAAACCTGTTTCTTTGTTAGGTATCCCTTCCAAGCCGGGGACCTTGAAATTACCTTAGACTTCTTGCTCATTCCCCTGTTCCTGGCAGTCTGTAAGATCTCTTCCCTTCAACAAATTCGTGAGCCCTATCCTCTGCTTCATTTTCCTGCTTGATTTTCTTAGAAATTATCATGCTGATTTTTTTTTTTTTTTGCCATTTCCCAGGTTTAAATGTGATGCTTGTAGAGGTAATGATTCATTTAGAAAATGAACATAAAAAGCAACCGATAGCTTTTATTTTATTGTGTTATTGTAGTTCAAAAAGTAATTTACTTACTTGAGAAAAATATATGGAACTGTTATATCTTGCTTTGTTTTTCATTTAAATAGTATTTTTCATGTCACTAACAATTCTCAGGTAGCATTGCCATTAAATCATGGCAAAGCACTCAGAACTTAACCATGTCACAATTACTGGACTGTTAGATACTCTCAAGGTTTTGCTAAATGACTGGTTATTATCTTTACATGAGTCTGATTCGTTCCTAGACATGGAACATTTTTTTCTGTGAAGGTCAGCATCTGTTCGCCCTCCCAGCTGTGCCTCCGTCTGTCTCGTTGCAAGCCACCAACACTGCAGGTTGCTGTTCAGAACAAAAAATGTCTGCTTGCTCCAGTGCTTAACCCTTTTTTCATTTTAATTTTTTTATTACTAGCAGAGTTGAACATATAAAAAATGTCTCTTCTGCCACATGTTTACAGAATAATGTACTCTGGGTCTGGGCTGTGTCCTGAAATGCACACCCTGGTTCTTACTCCATCGCTGGCTGAGCTGGGGCAGCTGCTGCTGTTTTCAAGTTCCCACCCTGTTGGTGACACTCAGCCTCTTGGATTCTTCTTTAAAAATCAGCTTTATTGGCTTCTAGTCAAGATGTCAATGTACGCAGACATGGCTTGCCTCTATGCACAAACACATAAAAATTACAACTAAAATATAGGACAACTATCTCTTAGAACCATCAGAAATTGAGTTGAAGGGAAGTCTGACAACTACAGAATTAGAGAAACCACATCCATATAGTTGGGTAGGAGGGGTGTGGGTGCAACGGGCTGGGCTGGCCCCACACCCACGTGAATAAGAATTTGGGAGGGATATCTCTGGAGGGAGGAGTCCCAGACTCACACCCAGGGCCCCAGCCCAGGGTTCCAATACCAGGAAGATAAGTCTCGACAACTTTCGGCTGCAAAAAACAGCAAGGATTGAGTTGGTGGAGGAGGCTACTGGAGTCCCAAGCAGTTTCTCTTAACCCACACACATGCCCTGCCTGCTGTGGCTCAGTGGATTGAGTTCTGGCCTGTGAACCAAGGGATCGCCAGTTTGATTCTCAGTCAGGGCACTTGCCTGGGTTGTGGGCCAGGTCTTCCAGTAGGGAGTGTGTGAGAGGCAACCGCACATTGATGTTTCTCTCTTTCCTTCCCTCTAAGAATAAAAGTCTTTAAAACACACACACAATCTGTTTAAAAAGAACCCACACATGGACTCACCTACTCAGACTCACTCCTTCAGCCTGAGCACCAGGGTAGCAGCTTGAAGGGCACCAGTGACATGCAGGGAGAGAACTGAAGTGTCTGGCATCTCGGCAAGCAGAGGCCATTGTCCCTTTACTGAGCCCTTCCCCCAGAGCAGGTAGGCTGGTGCCACTTCTGAGACTCCATCAACCTCACTAATGCTGATCCACCTTGGAGATCCACAGAGGTTCTATCCCACCCAACTTTATGGGCCCACCTAACCTGCTTTTCCATAAGAATAGATGGTCTCAGCTCCTAATTCCTATCAAACAAGCAACAGTTGGCTTCTGTGAGTCCCAATGGCAGTCAGATTAGATTCAGTTTGGCTTTGCCTGGGAACCTCCAAGCCCAGCACAAGAAGCAGCCATCTCAGGTTGCTTTACAGCTCAGGCAAGGTGCACTGCGCAAAACACAGGTGGGGGTTGACCCTGACCTGCACTGCCTGGGGAACCCCAGGGCCAGAGCACGCAGTGGACAGCTACAGACCACATTGGAGCACCACCGCCCTGCCCCTGCACAGCTGATCCTCCATGGGCGGTGGAGGTAGGTGGTTTGTAGTCACAGGTAGTCCTTGAAGATGACTGGCCTGGGTGAATCCCATTGATCTGCCAATAGCAACCAAGGCTCAACTACAAGAGGAGGGTGTACTCAGTACCTAGCTTAGGTGATGGTGGAGGTTGTGCTACTGGACCCTACCCTACAGGACACCTACTACATTAGGCCACACTACCAAGACAAGGAGTCAAAGCAGCTCTACCTAATCCATAGACACAAACACAGGGAGACTGCCAAAATGAGAAAACAAAGAAACAGCCCAAATGAAAGAACAGATCAAAACTGCAGACAGAGTTAAAGTGGAGATAAGTGATCTATTAGATGCAGAGTTCAAAACACTGTTTATAAGGATGCTCAAGGAGCTTAATGAGGACCTCAACAGCATAAAAAAGACCCAGCCAGAAACAAAGGATACACTAATTGAACAATTTACAGGAAAATAAGAGTGGATGAAGCTGAGAAACCAATGATTTGGAACATGAGGAACAACAACAACAAAAAAATCAGAACAGTAAGAAAAAAAAATAGTCCAAAACAATTAGGACAGTATAAACATCCTCTGGGACAACTTTAATAGGTCTAACATTTGCATCATGGGGGTGCCGGAAGAAGAAAAGAACAAGAAATTGGAAATCTATCTGAAAAAAAAAAAAAGATAAAAAGTCCCCAATTTGGTGAAGGAAATAGTTTTGCAAGTCCAGGAAGCACGAGATTCCCAGACAAGATGGGTGCAAAGAGGCCCACTCCAAGACACATCATAATCAAAATGCCAAAGGTTAAAGATAGAGAATCTTAAAAGCAGCGAGAGGCCCTGGCTGTTGTGGTTTGCCAGATTGGGGGGGGGGGGGGAGGGGAGAATAGGCAAAGAGGTAGGATGTAAACTACCTATAGGAAAGTACCTATGTAAAGTACCTGCAGGAAATAGAGTAGCCAAAGAACCTATGCATGGCCCATGGACATGAACAATGGTGGGGGGGGGGGGTTTCCTGAGGGAGTGGGGGTGCTGGGTCAAGAGGGGCAAAGGGGAAAATCAAGACAACTCTAATAGCATAATGTAATTTAAAAAATAAAAGAATCAGCTTTATTGATGTATAGTTAGCAAAGTCATTCACTCATTTGAAATATACAATGAAAAGATATTTAGTATATTCACAGGGGGCACCCATCACCATAGTGTAATTTTAGAACATGTTCATACTCCCTAAAAGAAACTCCATGCCTAGGAGCAACGACGCCCTATGTCGCCCCATCTCTCCCACAACCAGCCGGAAGCAATTGGACCCATTCTTTTCGGCCTCAGCACGTAGCCCCGGGTCAGAGTCAGTGAATGAATGTCGTGTGACTGAGTAGCCTGTGCAGGCTGTTTCAAATCCCGGGACCTGTTGGCTCCATCTCCTCCTGAAGCCCAGCTCCGGGTGACGCAGGGCAAGCTGAGTGTTTCGGCAGCTGTAGGCGGAAGAGGGGCTGTGAGAGTGCAGGGTGGGTGTGCACTCGGACAACCCGGCGCCCGCGCGGGAGGGGGCGACGCTCTGCACGAGGGCCGCGGGAGTGGCCTCAGCCGAGTGCACGGGGTGTGTCCCTGGCTGGGCTGGGTCTGGGGTCCGCAAGGATCGCCGCGGGAAGTTAGCTGGCCGCTGGGCGCTGGCCGGCGCGCTTCTCCCCCGCGGCGCACGCTGGGGGCCTGGTCGGGCAAGACGGGTGGGCGTGGCCCGCGGGGCCGGGAAGGTGGGCTCCCGCCGCGGGGGAGATGTGGAGGGGCGGGGGCAGGCCTGCGCGGCGCATGCGCGCTGCATTGTTTTGACTGAAAATGCCGTCTGTTTCGAAAGCGGCCGCGGCGGCGCTGAGCGGGTCCCCCCCGCAGACGGAGAAGCCGACCCACTACAGGTCAGTGTCCCGGCCGCCGCGGGAGCGGGCCGGGGCGGCCCCGTGCGCCCCTGATCCGCGCCCCCGTGCCCCTGGGCCTGGGTGCCGCCGCTGGGTGCGGCCTGGGGCCCGGTGCCGCCCCCGTCCCACGCCCCGCGCGCCATCCCCGGCCTCCGCCGGCGCGGCGCCCGGGCTCTGGGCCGGCGGCCCTCTGTCCGGCTCGGGCTGCAGCTGCCCGAGGTCGGGTGTCGGCGCCCACGGTCTGGGGTGGTGCCTCGGCTTGGGAGCTGGGGGACGCGCCGGGGGCCCGGGCTCCGCGCGCCTGTGTCCAGGGGTCGGGGGGCCGCGCCCGGGCTCCGCGGAGGGCGGCCGTCGGGACTACTGCTGCCTCCGTCCGGGGTCGGGGATGGTGTCTGAGCTTTGGGATCGGGCGCACTTGGGGTCTCGGTGTCGCGCCTTAAGTTGGGAGCCGCGTCTGTGGTCGCGATGGGGGTTCGGGGGGTCGCACCTGAGATCTGGGAGACGCTCCTGGGCTCAGGGGCGGGGAGGCGGCCGTCTGGGGTCGGGGATGGGGGAGGCGGCGCCTTGGGGGTCCGCGTCGGGGTTCTGGGGGGGTCGCGCCTGGGGTCGGCGAACTGTGCCTGGGGTCCGAGGGACGCTCCTGGGCGGGGCGCGGGCTGCGGCCGTTTGGACCCCGGGCCGGGGCGGTGGTCGCGCCTGGGGTCGGGGATGACACCTGGGCTTGGGGGCCGGGGCGCGCCCGGGGTCGCAGTGTCGCGTCTGTGATCGGTGTGGGGGGCTGTGCATGTTGTCTGGGGGATCAAGACTGAGGTCCGGCTCAGGATGGGGGCGTTGGCGGCGTCCGGAACCTTCTGGACCCGGAATGGGGGTCGCGTTGAGGTCGCGTTCCTCTGGGCCTGTGGGCTCAGTTCATCCCGCCCACGAGTTTCCAGGCTGCTCGCCGGCGGAAGCGACCTGCAACGCTGTTTGTCTTTTTAGGTATCTAAAGGAGTTTAGGACAGAGCAGTGCTCCCTGTTTGTGCAGCACAAGTGCACCCAGCACAGGCCATTTACCTGTTTCCATTGGCATTTCCTAAATCAGCGTCGGCGCAGACCGCTCCGCAGGCGCGACGGCACCTTCAACTACAGCCCAGACGTGTACTGCTCCAAGTACGACGAGGCGAGTGGCGTGTGCCCCGACGGCGACGAGTGAGTGTGCGTGTGTGTGTGTGTGTGTGTGTGTGTGTTGGGAGGGGATGTCGGCCTCCAGGGGGACAGCTCCTGTTGCTCTGCCCCTGGACCTGGCCTTGCCAGGGCGGGCGGACCCCTGGTTCTTTTAAGCACCTGGCACACCTGTGCAGGGGATCCTGCCTTAACTTTGAAGTTTTTCCTGGGATCAGGACTGGTGTGGGGGTCGGCAGGGCATTTCCCTGTCTTTAGGCCAGTGTGGGAAGGACTGTGTGCCTCAGAAATAAACCTTGCGTGGTTCAAACCGAATTTGTTTCAATTCCTACTGTCATTGCCACACAGTTCTCCAAATTTCTTGCATTAGAACCAGCCCAGCCCTGGCTGGTGTGGCTCAATGGATTGATTGAGTGCTAACCGACGAACCAAAGGGTTGCTGCTTCAGTTCCCAGTCAGGGCACATGCCTGAGATGCAGCCTGGGTCCCCAGCGGGAGGCGTGCAAGAGGCAACCACACATTGATGTTTCTCTCCCTCTCTTTCTCTTTCCCTTCTGCTCTCTCTAAAAATAAATAAAATCTTAAAAAAAAAAAGCAGCCCAAATGAGGTACAGCTTGGGATAATTTTTGTACAAGAGTTGTCCATTGTTTCTGTGGCAAGAGAGTTTTTTAAAATGTGTACTCACTGTGCAAATATATCTGTAATGTTACTGTTTTTGCTGTTTACATGTTTAATTGAAAAAACAATTTTACACCCTGGCTGGGGTGGCTCAATGGATTAAGCACTGGCCTGCAAACGAAAGCATCACCATTTAGATTCCCAGTCAGGGCACATGCCTGGGTTGCAGGCCAGGTCCCCAGGTCAGGGTGCATGAGAGGCAACCACACATTGAGGTTTCTCTACCTTTTTCCCTCCCTTTCCCTCTCTCTAAAAATAAATAAATAATGTTTTAAAAAATTGTATTAGGCTGTCAGTTATGCAGCATTTTCAAAGTTTCGAAAATCAAGATTTTGTTGGGGTTGATTTTTGTTTTACAAGTTTCCTGATGGTGTTATAAACAGATGTCTTTATTCTGAAATATAGGGTGGGGCTAAAGTAGGTTTACCGTTTTGAATATGAGAAAAGTTTATTCTTGTATTTATTAATTATTGATTATTGTGTTATTTGTCATACAAACAACTGTAAACTTCCTTTTGCCCCAGCCTGTATGTAGAATGGGAAAACAGAAAAAAGTACAGTCAACTTGTATATTCATGGACAGAGACTGGAAGTTACTCGGAGGTTTTGCTTTTTTTCCTATGGATTATTTGATGGGAGTGGGGAGACATTCCTGCCAGGCGGTAGGGCAGCGTCACTGTGCCTAGGACCCTCTAAGAAAGCAGTTTGGAACCCTTCTGTCTGGAAGGAGATCTGGTTTGGGGGAAGGTCCTCAAGCTCCATCCCCTGACCCTCCGGGGGAGATGAGTCTTCAGGTGTGCTCTCTTTTGAAGACTGTTTTTTATCCTGTAACACACAGGGACTGGTATGAATCTGTTTTTCTTCATTTCCACAATGCCTAGGCCAGGGAGTCCATTTTTAATCTGTGGTGATTCTATAAACTTTATACTCTACTGAAAGGTGTTTTAGTTAACACAAACTAGTTACATAGTGTTGTTAAGGGGCTTGAAGTCTGCTGAAATAATGTAGCCAGCTCCACCAAGGTTAGGATTGTTTTACTTCTGCAAGGTTTGAAAAGTGCCTTTTTAAATGCTGCTTGAGCCAGAGTTTTCTGCAAATGGGTCTTCAGCAGAGAGAAGTTTTTGTCCAGATGAAGCCTGGTATCAGGTCCCGTTTCCCTGGGTTGTGTCAATCACCTCCCTGGACCTTGGGTCCTGAGTCGCTCTGTTGCTTGACATTGGTGCAGGGGTCCATTCATCTGGTGTGTCTGACCCCATCCAGAGTCCAGTATGGGGGATTAGGCGGCAGTATTCACTGGTGCTGCTGTTGGTGCAGGAAAAGAAGCACGTTTTAACAGCTGTCTTGGGTCCCAGAGTCTGGGTGTTGTGGTGTCCATCAGCCTCACTGCTGGGCGTGGAGGTGGGGCCAGTTCTCCCAGGATGAAGAGTGCTGCAGTGAGCACCTGTCTGCAGCTGGTCATTTTAAGCTGGGTTCAAACAGTAACTAAGTGATATGTAGTTTATTATAAAAATACTAAATATTATTTTAAAATAAAAAATATTAGTGTAGTCTGAATGGAATGCAGGTTATCATTGAGAAACTGGATGAGTGGGACCAAGATGCTTGCCTGACATTTTCTGTTTTGGATGTATCCTGTGTATCTGTTCACAGCAAGAAAGTCATATATGTCTTTTTTTAAAAAAAGATTTTATTTATTTATGTTGACAGAGGGGAAGGGGGGGGAGAAAAAGAGGGACAGAAATACCAATATGTGGTTGCCTCCCACGTGCCCCACACCAGGGACCCAGCGCACAATCCAGGCATGTGCTCTTACCGGGAATCGAACTGGCGACCTTTAGGTTCACAGGGTGGCGCTCAGTCCATTGAGCCACACCAGCCAGGGCTCACATGTGTCTTATTGAAGATTTTGTTTGTAACTTCTAGTAAGCAAATGTGATGCCTTGCTTCAGACCTTTAGTATGGATTTGACCGCCAGTTGTCTCCCCAGGGGATCCCTCCTTAGTATCTGCTCACTCCCTGATAGAGAGACTTTCTTATCACCCACCAAAGAATGCCCTAAAGTTTGTCCTGTCGAACATATTCTGGTTCACAAAGGGTTGCCATGAAATTCATAAATAGATACTACCTTTCAGAGCAAGGACAGTATCTTCCTTTTATTTCAGTTCATTTTCTATTTTGAGCATTTGTATTACCAACCTATTATTTTAAAGCATGAATATGTATCAAAGAACAAAGACCCTTCAGCCAACCCTTCAGACAGGTGACAGAAGCCTTGAATGTTGTTCTTGGCACTGGCTGGGGACACCATGGAGCTGAGGCCTGCAGGGGGCAGGGGGGGATGGGGCTTGCAGGAAGGTTGACGCACCTTCCATCACCCTCCTCCAGTGGCCCCTCCCCTGCTGTCACAGACCCGCTGTCACCTGCCCGATCTCACCATCACCCCACCTCCCTCCCAGTGGCGCCCTCTCTTGATGTCACCCCCCCACTCCCACTGTCACCCCTGGGAGCCCCCCGCTGTCATCTTCCCCTCTCCATGGGCACCCCCTGCTGTCGCCCCTTTTCTTTGGTAGGTGGTCACCCTCCCTCTCACTCTCATCCCTTCTCTGATGACCTCTTCCCCTGCTGTCACCTTCCTTCATTGGCAGGTGGTCAGTCTCCTCCACTGTCCCACACTCCCCTCCATGAGCATTCCCGCTGTCATCCCCTCAACCCAATGTCACCCCTTTCCCTTGGCAGGCAGTCACCCTTTTACCCTCCTTTCCCTTCCGTCTGTGGACTCCTATCCTGATGGCACGCCCTCTCTGCCACCCGCCTTCTTCGGTAGACCGCTACCCCTTTGGCTGGGAGCGTCCCCTCTGCGTGGGAGTCCTGCGGTCCTCCCATTCCCATTGCCCTTTGTTCTGGTGGGCACGCCCCCTACTCGGCAGGGGCTGTAATTAGCTGTCCTTGTCACACTCGCCACCCCTCGCCCCTCCTCCATGGGAACTGGTCTCACAGAGGTGCCGGACCACCTGGTCCTCCCTAATCTACCAAGAAGGAGTTGGCAGTGCAGAAAACCGCTTCTGAGCCTAAGGTCGGGGTCAGCTCCACAGGGTCAGTGTTCCTGCCTGGGCGGATCCATCTCGGGTATTTCTTAGGCTGGGCTTCCAGGAAAGCAACTTCTGTGTGGAGGTTTCTTGGGCTCAGTCAACATCCTGAAAGCTGCTTGAGAGCGGCATCGGGTGTGGACAGCCCTAGGCTCCCCTCTGGTCGGACTGAGTGGTCAGGGCTAGTCCTGGTCTTTGCACCTGGAACCCAGGTGTGGTGGGGACCTTCTGCTAGCGCAGCTGTCAGTGCTGGTCAGACATGTACAGACTTCAGTTCTGACATTAAAAGAGAAAAACCCTCCCAGCGTCTGAGAGTCCCATCCAGAGACATGTTTTTTATTGGAAAACAGTTCAGGCAGCCCTCAACTATATATGTACTTAGTAAATGTTCTCTTTCCTCTGTTAATCCTGCTCTTGTCCTAGACAGGCTGTCCCTGACTCCAACAGTTACAAATTTTCTTTCTTTTTTTTTTTTTAACTAAAAAAAAAATCTTACCCGAGAACATTTTTTGTTGCTTTTAGAGAGAGAGAAAGGGAAAGAGAAACATCGATGTGTGCACTGACCCAGAATCAAACCCAAAACTGGTTGTGGCTCAATGCTCCAACCAACTGAGCCACACCGGCCAGGGCAAGTTTTCTAGTCTTAATAAGAAATGGGCCTTGGCGGGTGTGGCTCAGTTGGCTGGGCATCTTTCCACCAATAGAAATGTCACTGTTGCACCCCTGGCTGGCGTAGCTCAGTGGATTGAGCGCTGGCTGTGAACCAAAGTGTTGCGGGTTCGATTCCCAGTCAGGGCACATGCCTGGGTTGCAGGCCATGGCCCCCAGCAACTGCACATTGATGTTTCTCTCTCTCTTTCTCCTTCCCTTCCCTCTCTAAAAATAAGTAAATAAAATATTAAAAAAAAAGAAATGTCTCTATTTTGATTCCCGGTCAGGGCACATGTCTGGATTGTGGGTTCTGACCCCCCCACCCCAAATCTGGGCTCATAGGCAACCGATCCATGTTTCTTTCTCACATGGATGTTTTTCTCCCTCTCTCTCTCCCTCTCTTCCCCCCTCTCTAAACATGAATAAATAAAATATTAAAAAAGAAAAAGAAAAAAAATGGTCCCAGCCCTGGCCGGGTGGCTCAGTTGTTGGAGCATCTACCCATACACCAAAAGGTTGTGGGTTCGAATGCCCCCACTCCCCTATCAGGTCATAAACCCAGGATGCAGGCTCAGTCCCAGGCCGAGATGCCTAGTGAGGCAACTGATCAG